CGGAAAAGAAACTCCTCTATCCACCCCAACGAAACAGACCAATGACTGAGAGGGTGCACGTGAACGCATCCTTAGCATTGACATCACTTTCAATTTGGAGCAGCAAGCGAGCGGAGGAAACCTCCAAACTCACAGATTCTCAATGTAGCACATTTATGACTCGAACCCTTCCCAGGCCCCAAGGCAGCGGAAGGTGCTCTTAAGGAATGCGCAAGTACAACAACAGCTTAGAAAACAGGACATATCTAACCGGGCTCTTAACAGAGCTTGCCGGGGTCAGCAGAATGCTACCCAGATCGCAGTCCAACCAGTGCAATTTTCTTCCATATGTTCTTTTGCGAGGTTCTGTCCACCTCAATGAAACAGAACAATTACTGATACCACACGCAAAGCATCCTTAGCACTGACAGCATCATCTTTCAACGAGGAGGAGAATGCAACGGAGGAAACGTCCCGACTCACAGCGGCAGGTGCTCCTAAGGAATGCACAAATACATCAGCTGGATAAATAAAACACAGACTTCGATTCTCAACGTAGCCTGTCATGAGCAGGATCTAGTATGGCTCACTTTCATATATCACTAAGACAACACGTCAAGGTTCTCGCCCGACTATGTCGACTCCAGCCAAATGAAATCAATTACTGGAAAGGCACATGAAGCATCCTTAGCATTGACATCAGTCTTTGATTGGAGCAGCAAGTGAGCGGAGGAAGCCTCCCAACAAGTTTCTCAATGTAGCGCATTTATGACTCGAACCCTTCCCAGGGCCCAAGGCAGTGGAAGGTGCTCTTAAGGAATGCGCAGGTGAACCAGAAGCTTGATAAACAGGGCATAGACACGTGCTCAACTCACCAATAAAGCTACTAGTGCCTGGCAGACTCATATTGGCCAAGTAAAACACAGGAAAATAGTAGAGGAGATAGACATACTGACTAAACCTCCATAATATTTAACAAGTCGGGTTTTATCTCGATCATATAAAACACCTACACATAAAAATAGGACTGAAGAAACCAAGCGTTTACTAACACTTCGAGTGGGGCAGAGAGAGAGCAGTGCAACCTACAACTACATTCGCTTCTGTACAGACATTACAACAACACACCACAATTCTGCAATGAGGTCTTGTCCGCCCCTGTGAAGTAGTTCAACCACTGAAGAGGATGCATAAAGCGTCCTTCGCATTGACACA